GCGATTCTCTGCCTCGGCCTTCTGAATAGCTGCGATTACAGGTGTCTGCCACCACAACCGGGTAAATTTTTGTGTTTTTAGTAGCGACAATGGCCGGGTAATTTTTTGTAGTTTTTGTATTTTTCACCATGTTGGCCGGTCTGGTCTTGAACTCCTTACCTCAGATGATCCACCTTCCGCGGCCTCCCAAAGTGCTGGGATTACAGGCGTGAGCCACCACGCACGACCGCAGAATCTTTAATACCGTTCTTTGTATAAGCCATCACTGATTTGCAGAAGAAGCAACCAGGACTCGTGGCTAACAAAGGATTGTTGCCATTTTTATAATTTCATGTGTTGTCCTTTCATCTAAGGCACAAAACCGTTTTCTCTCTTGGGTGGCCTAAGAGAGCTTATAAAAATGAGCTGTAAATTATTCATGCTAGCCCTAACAGGACACGTTCTATTAGTGGGTTTTAGTAATAATATTGCGCCCTCCAGTGGAACTTCGTAGGAACAAACATAACTCTTTGAGTCTTTTGCAGACACCAAAGGCACGGATGAGAATCAGGGAGAAGTCAGCAGGCAGCGGCTTCTTGTCTCCATATGGCACAGGAAGAAAGTCCTTGGCATCTGGTCGATACTTTCATCTATAGTAACAGTTTCAGATACCATATCCAGACACAGCAGAGTCCAACAGAATGAGAGGCTGGTGTTCTCTTTAGTGCAGTTTTTAATTTAATTTAATTTTATTTTTTGAGACAGAGTCTTACTCTGTCACTCAGGCTGGAGTGCAGTGGTGTGAACATAGCTCACTGAAGCCTCAATCTCTTGAGCTCAAGCAATCCTCCCACATCAGCCTCCCAAGCAACTGAGACAACAGGCATATGCCACCATGCCAGGCTAAGTTTTGTATTTCTTTCTTTCTTTCTTTCTTTTTTTTTTTTAGAAACAGGGTCTCACTATGCTGCCCAGGCTGGTCTCAAACTCCTGGGCTCAAGCAATCCTCCCGCCTTGGCCTCCCAAAATGCTGAGATGACAGGCATGAGCCACGACACACTGATAGTTTTGGCTAATTATATTGTAGAGTGTCCTTCATTTGGGGTTTATCTGATTGTTTTGTCGTGATTCTATTTAAGTTAGGCTATATGGCATGAACACCACATGTCTTTCTCGTTACATCATAAAGGCCAGATTATGATATGGATTGTCTCAATATTGATTCTGGCAACCTGATCACATGGTTAAAGTGGTGTCTACCAGCTTGCTCCAATGCAAATTGATTATTTTTCCTTTGTAATTATTAACTATTTTGTGGAAGATGCATTGAGAATGTGTGAATATCCCATTAATCACAAAGATTCCATCCACTAATTTTAGTGTCCAATAATGATTCTGGTCTTAGACACATTATATGATAGTTGTAAAACAGTGTTTTTCTAACTGCATCATTTCTTCTACACTTATTAGATGGGATTCTACTGTAAGCAAGAGCTTTTCCTTCATTTACTTACAGTGCAGATTAATGGATTCCTATTTTATTCAATTTTTATAACTCATTGTTATAATTATTTATTCTAAAGCTCAAATTTCCTAGGCAATGTGAGCCCCATTCAAGCTGGTTCTATATCCTTTTGACAAGTCTATGTAATGTTTTGAGTGCTGCCTTACTTTCTATCCCATAAAGATGTTCCACATTAACCTTAACGCTTTCCATACTTGATCCCTGGAATCAACAATTTGTCCAAGGACCTCTGGCTCCTTTCATCATGAAATGATACCTAGAAACAATTATCTGGGTGTTAGAAATTCTCATTGCAACTGAGCTAAACAACACATTTTTATTATGTTCTGTGTTCTTGCCTTACCATGTCCTGGAACTACAAGTGTTTGAATAAAAATCTACTAGATTCAGAATAATACTTAAAGAACTAGTAGAACCTTGGCTTCCAATTTTTCCGGAATGAGTAGAGCAGACCCTAGACAATTGGCTAAAACGGAAGGCAAAAGGAAACACCTTCTTTCTTGCAGGTGAGTAGAGCCGACCCTGGACAACTATCTAAAACCAAATATCTAAAATGCTTTAGATATTTGCTGTATGACTTACCACTGATTTCTGCTTGCATTTCAGGAGCAACTTTCCTTTGAGGGTAAGGGCTTATTTTGTCTAAAAAGCAACTTTTCTAAACTTTCTTAGCTGGAACCAGAAATGTAACCTAGAGGGGAAAAAATAAAGATATTTAGATTGTAGTATGTCAAAACTTAGTTGTTTTAGTCTGGCTCTGGGACAATGCATAGGTTTCCTTTTCCTTGTACCTTCCCTCTAAATACAACTAAATATCTTGAAAATACTTTAACAGATTCTCAAATATAGGAAGAAGAAGGTAGACTGGATAGAAGCCACAATGAGTTCCCCAGGTTTTCTTTATAGCACTCGTATATCCCAGAGTGGGTGTCTGGGAGGTGTGCAACCCAGAAACGGTCAATAGGTTAGACCACAAATAGATAAACAAACAAATAAAGAAATGCAAAAGAAAAGCCTGCTTTCTCTGAAAAAAGGTTCAGGAAAGGGAAAGCTTAGCAGGAGCTTAGCAGGGAGATTCACATCCAGTGGCAGCAGCTGGCTGATCTGCTGGCAGTAGCTGTACCAGCAAAGCTGGGGGAGAGAAGACCAATCCATCCCCCACACCTACCCCAGCCAGCAGCACTGACAGGATCACACCTGCCCACAGCAGTAACAGCGGGACCCAGGTAGGTCAACATACTCTCTGCCCCATACCAGGAGGCCAGAGATGAGCCCTTCTACCTGAAATGCTAATACCAGCTGGCCCAGTGTCTTCCAGCACTCCACTCAACTGCAGAAGGCAGCCTAAGGCCAGTGTATCCTGATCTTCTACCCATTGACAGACAGCTACCTATATCCAGTGAGTCCTGGCCCTATCCCAATGGCTGAAGGCAATCCAGGCCTGGTGTCTCCTGTTTACCCAGTGGCAGCATGTGAACTAGGCTGGGGTCTGCTGCCCTTCCACCCAGATTCATGGCTCCTGCTCCTCCACACAATGGCAGAAGGCAGCCCAATCCTGTCTGCACTGGCAGAGATAAAGTGGAAAGTTCACTAGCGATGGGGGGAGGGGGCTGCAAAAAATCAGGGGAAAGAATTTCTGCCCCATTGCTCTGGATTCTCCATAACTCGCTTTATGACACTTGAAAGGCAAAAGGAAGCATGTTCATTTTTCCTGCTTAGCAGGAGCTCAAGCAGAGACAGAAGAGTAATGAAATAGTGAATAAAGCTTAAGCGACACATAGAGCACCATCAAGCAATCCAATACATGACTTATGGGCATTCCAGAAGGAAATTATCTCAGCAAATAAAGGTCATATATGAAAAGTCCAGAGCTAACATCATACTTACTAGTGAATAAATGAAGGCTTTTCCTCTAAGATCAGGACAAGATAAGGATGCCCCTTTCACCACTTCTATTCAACATAACACCAGTTGTTCTATTCAACATAACACCAGTTGTCCTATTCAGAGCAATCAGGCAAAAAATAATAATAATCATGATTTAAGGAAATCAAATCAAAAAGTAAAAAGTAAATTTGTCCCTCTTGCAGATGATATACTCTTATATTTAGAAAACCCTAAAGATTCATCAAAGAACTGTTAGAACTAATAAACATATTCTACAAAGTTGCAGGATACAAATTAACATATAAAAATTAATTGCATTTCTATACACTAATAACAAATTATCTAAAAAGGAAATTAGGAAAACAAACCTATTTACAAGAACACCAGAAACAATAAAATACATAGATATAAACTTACCGAAGGAGGTGAAAGACTTGTATACAGAAAATTACAAAATATTGATGAAGAAAATTAAACAAGAAACAAACAAATGGAAGTGTTCATAGATCTGAAGACTTAATAGTGTTAAAATATCCCTAATACACAGAGCAATCTACAGATTCAGTGTAAACCCTATCAAAATCCTAATGGCATGTTTGTTTACAGAAATAGAAAAAATAGTTCTAAACTTCATCTGGAACCACAGTAGATCATAAATATCTGAATCAATCTTGAGAAGGAAGAACAAAACTAATTTCATAATGTATTATAAAGCAACAGTAATCAAAACAGTATGGTACTGGCACAAAAACAGACATATAGATCAGGTGTGGAGGCTCATGCCTGTAATCTCAGCACTTTGGGAGGCCAAAGCAGGGGGAATCACTTGAGCCCACGAATTCAAGACCAGCCTGGGCAACATAGAGAGATCCTCATCTCTACAAAAAGTAAAAAAATTAGCCAGCAGTGGTGGCATGCACCTTTGTCCCAGCGACTCTGGAGGCTGAGGTGAGGGGATTGCTTGAGCCTGGGAAGTCAAGACTGTAATGAGCTGTGATTATGCCACTGCACTTAGCCTTGTCATCAGAGTGAGATCCTGTTTGGAAATCAAAATGAAACCCAAAACCAGACATTAAAAAAACAGACAAATTTGGCCAAAGGGACAGGATTGAGAACCCAAAAATAATACCAGACGTATATGGTCAAGTGATCTTTAACAAGGGTGCCAGGAATACACAATGGGGAAATGATGGTCTCTTCAAAAAACAGTGCTGGGAAAACCAGCTATCCACATACAAAAGGATGAAATTGGGCTCTTATCTTACAATATGTACAAAAATAAACTCAAAGTGGATTAGAGACTTAAACATAAGACTCCAAACTTTAAGACTTCTAGAAGAAAACATAAGGAAAAAGCTTTATGCTGTTGATTTTGGCAATGATTTCATGGGCATGACACCAAAATCACAGCCAAAAAAAAAAAAAAAAAAAGAAAAGAAAACCCAGGAAACAGTCAGCAGAATGCACAGGCAACCATGAGGGAGTCAATCATCAAATCAATGTTTTGAAACAGGTATATCTCTACATACGTAGAAATTAAACAACACAGAGATGGGCGGCTACTTCCAGAGCTTCAGGGCCGGGGCTCACACCTGAGCGCTGCCGCAGAGGGGCTGCACCTGGCCTTATGGGCTGAGAAGAAAGCCAAGGTCATTGCAGTAATGAATGCTGTGGAAGCAAACCAGGGTTCCTGGGAGTCTCAGAAGGTGGAGGAGGCCAGCCCTCCTGCTGTGCAGCAGCCCACTGACCCTGCATCCCCCACTGTGGCCACCATGCCAGAGCCCGTGGGGGCCGATGCTGGGGACAAGAATGCTACCAAAGCAGGCGATGATAAGCTGGAGTAGGAGGACGGCCGGGGCTTTGGCATTGGGGAGCTGGTGTGGGGGAAACTGCAGGGCTTCTCGTGGTGGCCAGGCCACATTGTGTCTTGGTGGATGACAGGCCGGAGCCGAGCAGCTGAAGGCACCCGCTGGGTCATGTGGTTCGGAGATGGCTAGTTCTCAGTGGTGTGTGTTGAGAAGCTGATGCCGCTGAGCTCGTTTTGCAGTGCGTTCCACCAGGCCATGTAACACGAGCAGCCCATGTACCGCAAAGCCATCTATGAGGTCCTGCTGGTGGCCAGCAGCCGTGCGGGGAAGCTGTTCCCAGTGTGCCACGACAGTGACGAGAGTGACACTGCCAAGGCCGTGGACGTGCAGAACAAGCAGATGATTGAATGGGCCCTGGGGGTCTTCCAGCCCTCTGGTCCCAAGGGCCTGGAGCCACCAGAAGGGGAAAAGAATTCCTACAAAGAAGTGTACACGGACATGTGGGTGGAACCTGAGGCAGCTGCCTAGGCACCACCTCCACCAGCCAAAAAGCCCTGGAAGAGCACAACGGAGAAGCCCAAGGTCAAGGAGATCATCGATGATGAGTGCACAAGAGAGCGGCTGATGTACGAGGTGCGGCAGAAGTGCCAGAACATGGAGGACATCTGCATCTCCTGTGGGAGCTTCAACGTCACCCTGGAACACCCCCTCTTCATTGGAGGAATGTGCCAAAACTGCAAGAACTGCTTTCTGGAGTGTGCATACCAGTACGATGACGACGGCTATCAGTCCTACTGCACCATCTGCTGCGGGGGCCGAGAAGTGCTTATGAGCGGGAACAACAACTGCTGCAGGTGCTTTTGTGTGGAATGTGTGGACCTCTTGGTGGGGCCGGGGGCTGCCCAGGCAGCCATTAAGGAAGACCCCGGGAACTGCTACATGTGTGGGCACAAGGGCACCTACGGGCTGCTGCGGCGGCAAGACGACTGGCCCTCCTGGCTCCAGATGTTCTTCGCTAATAACCACGACCAGGAATTTGACCCTCTAAAGGTTTACCCACCTGTCCCAGCTGAGAAGAGGAAGCCCATTCGGGTGCTGTCTCTCTTTGACAGAATTGCTACAGGGCTCCTGGTGCTGAAGGACTTGGGCATTCAGGTGGACCGCTACATTGCCTCGGAGGTGTGTGAGGGCTCCATCACGGTGGGCATGGTGCCGCACCAGGGGAAGATCATGTACGTTGGGGACGTCCGCAGCGTCACACAGAAGCATATCCAGGAGTGGGGCCCATTTGATCTTGTAATTGGGGGCAGTCCCTGCAATGACCTCTCCATTGTCAACCCTGCTCGCAAGGGCCTCTGCGAGGGCACTGGCGGGCTCTTCTTTGAGTTCTACCGCCTCCTGCATGATGCGCGGCCCAAGGAGGGAGATGACCGCCCCTTCTTCTGGCTCTTTGAGAATGTGGTGGCCATGGGCGTTGGTGACAAGAGGGACATCTCGCGATTTCTCGAGTCCAACCCTGTGATGATTGATGCCAAAGAAGTGTCAGCTGCACACAGGGCCCGCTACTTCTGGGGTAACCTTCCCGGTATGAACAGGCCATTGGCATCCACTGTGAATGGTAAGCTGGAGCTGCAGGAGTGTCTGGAGCATGGAAGGATAGCCAAGTTCAGCAAAGTGAGGACCATTACTACAAGGTCAAACTCCATAAAGCAAGGCGTAGACCAGCATTTCCCCATCTTCATGAATGAGAAAGAGGACATCCTATGGCGCACTGAAATGGAAAGGGTATTTGGTTTCCCTGTCCACTATGCCGACGTCTCCAACATGAGCCGCTTGGCGAGGCAGAGACTGCTGGGACGGTCGTGGAGCGTGCCAGTCATCCGCCACCTCTTCGCTCCGCCGAAGGAGTATTTTGCGTGTGTGCGAGGGACATGGGGGCAAACTGAGGTAGCAACACAAAGTTAAACAAACAAAACAACACAAAACATAATAAAACACCAAGAACGTGAGGATGGAGAGAAGTATCAGCACCCAGAAGAGAAAAAGGAATTTAAAACAAAAACCACAGAGGCTGAAATACCGGAGGGCTTTGCCTTGCGAAAAGGGTTGGACATCATCTCCTGATTTTTCAATGTTATTCTTCAGTCCTATTTAAAAACAAAACCAAGCTCCCTCCCCTTCCTCCCCCTCCCGCTCCTTCCCCTCCCCACCCCCCGTCAGACCTTTTGTTTTCTACTCTTTTCAGAGGGGTTTTCTGTTTGTTTGGGTTTTGTTTCTTGCTGTGACTGAAACAAGGTTATTTCAGTAAAAACCAGTAACAAAAAATAGTAACAATACCTTGCAGAGGAAAGGTGGGAGAGAGGAAAAAAGGAAATTCTATAGAAATCTATATATATATTTTTTTGTTGTTGTTGTTTTGTTTTTTTACTATAAATCTTTTTTTGTCTCTAGCCTGATCAGATAGAAGCGCAAGTAGCGGACGCACAGAGAGAGACACTCAGGCGGCCACATTCCCTCCCAGCCACTGAGCTGTCGTGCCCGCACCATTCCTGGTCACGAAAAACAGAACCCAGTTAGCAGCAGGGAGACGAGAACACCACACGACACTTTTCTACAGTATTTCAGGTGCCTACCACACAGGAAACCTTGAAGAAAATCAGTTTCTAGAAGCCGCTGTTACCTCTTGTTTACAGTTTATATATATATGATACATATGAGATATATATATATAAAAGGTACTGTTAACTACTGTACAACCCGATTTCACAATGGTGCTTTCAAACAGCGAGATGAGTAAAAACATCAGCTTTCACGTGGCTTTCTGAGCAAAGGGTTTCACCAAGGATGGAGGAAGGGAGACAGCTTGCAGATGGCGCATTCTCACGGTGGGCTCTTCCCCTTGGCTTGCCACAGAGTGAAGGAGGAGAACCTGGGAGCCGTGTTCTCCCATTTCTCCCTGCCAAAAAGAGGGTTAGATGAGGTGGTCGGGACCGTGGACAGCTGAGAGTGGGATTCATCCAGACTCATGCAATAACCTTTTGATTTTTTTCTAAAAGGAGACTTCCTCGGCAACTTGGCAGGGTACGGAGTCTTCAGGCCCAATTTCTCACTTTAGCCGATTCGAGGGCTCCTTGTGGTGGGATCAGAACTAATCCAGAGTGTGGGAAAGTGACAGTCAAAACCTCACCTGGAGCAAATAAAAAAACATACAAAATGTAAAAAAAAAGAAAAGAAAAAGAAACTAAGTATTAAATGGGTCAAAGAGAAGTCTCAAAATTAAAATTAAAATACATACAACCAATGAAAATAAAAGACAACATATGAATATATGTAGGATGCAGCCAAAGAAATGCTGAGAAAAATCTATACCAGTAAATAAGAAAGTGTTTTTTAAAATAACCTAAGGTCTCACATCAAGAAAGCAGAAAAACAAGAGCAAAGTACAATTTAAAATATGGGCAGAAGGAAAGGAATAATAAAGACAAGAACACTGGCCTGGCGTGGCAGCTTACACCTGTAATCTCAGCACTTTGGGAGGCCAAGGCGGGAGATCACCTGAGGTCAGGAGTTTGAGACCAGCCTCGCCAACATGGTGAAACCCCTTCTCTACTAAAAATACAAAAATTAGCTAGGCATGGTGGCATGTGCCTGTAATCCCAGCTACTTGGGAAACTGAGGCAGAAGAATTGCTTGTACCTGGGAGGCAGAGGTTGCAGTGAGCCAAGATCACACCATGCACTCCAACCTGGGTGATGGAGACTCCGTCTCAAATAAATAAATAAATAAATAAGCAAATAAAAAATAAAGACAAGCACACAAATAAATGAAACTGAAAACATAAAAATATAGAGAAAATCAATGAAACAAAAAGTTGATTCTTCAAAAAAATCACCGACATTGATAAACCTTTAGCAGACTGAATGAAAAATGAAAAAACCGCACAAATTACTAATATCAATAATTAAATAGGAGTATCACTATAGAGCATGCAAATCCAGAGTAACCACTTTGAAAACTATACAAAGAGTATAATTAATGAATATTATGATAATTAAGTAATTTATGGCAAATTCCTCAAACACAAATTACCAACACTCGCCAGTGTGCCATTGATCATTTGAAGGGCCCTAACAATTAAAAAGAAGTATCTTTTATTAAAAGCTCCTGATAAAAAGAAATCTCCAAAGCCATATTGTTTCATTTTCTTATAATCAACATTCACTGGAATATTATGAATCTTTAAAAGAAAAATTAATACCAATTTTGTACAATCTCCTGGAGAAAATAGAAAAGGAAGAAAAACTCCCCAAACATTTTATGAGGCCAGTATTACCCTGATACCAAAACCATACAAAGTCAATGCAAAGAGAAAACTATCGAGTAATCTCTCTCATGAATTTAGATACAAAAGTCCTCCACAAACACTAACCAAATGAACCCAAAAATATATTTAAAAATATGCCTATGACAAAGTGGGATTTATTCCAGGGTTTCAAGGCTACTGGATCAATATTCAAAAGTCAATCAGTGTTATTCAACACACCGAAAGCAAATAAAGAAAAATCCTGTCAATAGATGAAGAAAGAGAGTTTGACAAAAGCCAAAAATACTGAAACTTGCTAAAGAACACCTACAAGAAAACTGATAATATACTTAATGATGAAGACTAAATGTTTTCCCCTAAGATTGGGAACAGGGCAAGGGTTTAAGATCTCACCACTTTTAGTCAGCAAGATTTTTTAAAAGTTATACAAATTAGGAAAAAAATAAAACTACCTCTATTTGCAGATGACATGATTGTCTATGTATAAATTTCCAAGGAGTCTAGCAAGAAGTCCTAGTATCAATAAAGAGAAAAATTCTAGTACTTAGTGTAAGTGAATTTAGCCATGTCACAGGATAAAAGATCAACACATTAAAATTAGTCCTATTTCTTTATAGTAACAGTGAACATGAGGAAAGCAAATTAAAAACACAGTATCATTTACAATTACTGTAAAGAAAACAAATTACTTCATGCTATGGACTGAATTCTGTCCTCTCCCCACCAAATACATATGTTGAAGCCCTAATCCCCAATGCAACTATATTTAGAGATGAGGCCTTTAGGAGATAATTAAAGCTAAATGAGGTCATAATGATGGGTTCCTAATTTGATAGGATTCGTGGGTTTATGGGAATAGAAAGGGATCTCTCTCTCTTTGTTTCTCTGTTTCTCTCTCTCTCTCTCACTCACTCTCTTTCCCACCTCTTCTCTGTGCATGCACAGAGAAAGTCATCTCAGCACAGAAAGAGAGCCCTCAACAGAACCTGGCAATGCTGGTACCATGATCTCTGATTTTCAGTCTCTAGAACTGTGAGAAAATAAATTTCTATTGTTTAAGCCACTGAGGCTATTTGATTTTGTATGAATTTAACAAAGCGTGAATAGTATTTGTATGAACATTATTAATAGTATTAATAGTATTTGCTGAACATTATTACAATATACTGATGAAAACAATCAAAGAAGAAGTAAATAAATGGTGAAGTATACTTGTTAATTGATTGGAAGACTCAATACAGTACAGATGTCAGTTCTCCACAAATTGACCTATAGGTTTAATGCAATTCCTATCTAAATCCCAGAGAAGTTTTTGGAGACACAGAAAAGCTTATTCCAAAATTTGCATGGAAAGACACAGGTCCTAGAATAGCTTAAATAATCTTGAAAAAGAACAAAATTTGAGGAATTATGCTATCTGATAATAAGGCTTACTATATAGCTACATTATTCAAGATAATGTGGTATTGGTACAGGTATAGATGCACAGATCAATGAAACAGAATAGAGAATCCAGAAATAGACTGACATAAATATGCTCAACTGATTTTTTACAATGGTGGAAAAGCAATTTTACAAGAGTGAAGAAAGGATAACTCTTTCAATAAAATGGTGCTGAGGAAATTGGACATTCCTATGGGGATAAAAACAGAAAATAAGAACAGAAAAAAAAAGGCTTGATCTAAACCTAACACCTTATATAAAAATTAACTGAAATTGAGCTGGGTGCAGTGGCTAACACCTGTAATCCCAGCAATTTCAGAGGCTGAGGCAGGTGGATTGATTGAGCTCAGGAGTTCCAGACCAGCCTGGGTGACATGGTGAAACCCTGTCTCTATAAAAATACAAAAATTAGCCAGGCATGGTGGTGTGTATCTGTAATCCCAGCTACTTGGGAGGCTGAGGTGGAAGAATCACTTGAGCCCCAGAAGGCTGAGGTTGCAGTGAGCAGACATTGGGCCACTGCCCTCTAGCCTGGGTGACAGAGCCAGACCCTGTCTCAAAAAAGTAATAATAATAATAATTAATTGAAAGTGGATCATGTTAAAACTTTGAGGGAAAAAAAACATGAGCAAATCTGTGTGATTTCAAAAAGTTCTCAGACTATTGTGAAGAGGATGAAAAAATATGTACAGACTAGACGGAAATATTTACAAACCATGTATCTAACAAAGAAATACAATTCAGAATACAAATAACTCTTAAACTCAACAGTAAAAATGCAAATAAACAAATAAAAGCCAACAAAAATCCAATTAGAAAATGGGCAAAGACGTGAGTCTACACAGATGGCACGTAAACAAGTGAAAAGGTACCTGACATCCTTAACAACGAGAGAGATGCAAATTAAACTCACAGTGAGATATCGACTACATTCCTATCAGAATTGCTAAAATAAAAATTAGTGACAACACCAAATGCTGTGAAGAATGTGGAGACATTGGCTCACTCATGCTTTGCTGGTGAGAATGTACAATTGTACAGTCACTCTGAAAAATAGTTTGGCAGTTTCTTATAAAACAAGACATGCAATTTTGATATGCCCTCGCAATCACATTCTTCATCTTAGCAATGAAGACTTATGTTCATACAGAAACCTATACACAAATGTCTGTGGAATATTTATTTGTTATAGCTAAAAATCTGGTAGATATCCTTAAACAGATAAATGTTTAAGCAAACTATAGTACACACACACCACTCAACAATAAAAAAGAATGAACTCAACAACTTGGGTGGTACCCAGAAAGAAAAAAGCCAATTCCAAACAGTTACCTACTGTTTGATTTCATTTATGTAAAATTTTAGAAATGACGAAATATTGGAAATGTTGGACAGATTTGTGATACCAGTGGTTAGTGATTGTAAT